AAATACTTAAAATATTCAAAATTGACCCAAACATCATCAATCTGTGTGAAAAAAGTATGAAGGAATGGAACACCCAGCTAAAGATACAATCTAAGGATGCACCTATCAATAATACCCCGCAGATTAAAATCGAATCTGGAATATTCCAAGGAGATTCACCATCACCTCTCCTGTTCTGCATGATGATGTACCCCCTGTCCAGAATGCTAAATCAAAAGCCAAAATTGGGATATAAACTACTCAAAGATGAGCAGCCAACAACACATCTTCTGTACATGGATGATTTAAAGCTATACGCGAGTTCGGACACAGCGCTTGAAGAGCAAATTAAGATACTTCACGACTTCAGTAGCACAATTCATATGAACTTCGGATTAGATAAGTGCGCCAAAGCGACAATAAAGAACGGAAAAGTGGAAAAAACGGAAAACATAACAGTCCAGGCAAATATTACCATCAAAAACCTAGATGCTGGAGAAAGCTATAAATATCTTGAAGTTTATGAAAACCCAGAATTGTGTAATGATGAAATGAAAGAGACCATCAGTAAAGAATATCTAAGAAGGCTTAGGATGGTACTACGTTCAGACTTAACAGCACGAAATAAACTGCTAGCCATCAACAGTATAGCTGTTCCAATAGTAGAATACAGTTTTGGAATCATAGATTGGAGTCAGAAGGAAATTGCAGACCTAGATCGTAAAACAAGGAAGATGCTTACTATTCATGGACAGCTGCATCCTAGAGCTGATGTAGACAGGCTATATGTGAGTCGTAAAGAAGGAGGTAGAGGACTCAGGCAATTAGAGATGACTTATGATAATACAGTTGTATCCATAGCCAATTATTTAAGAAGCCGTAGAAATGATAAGTTAGTTAGACAAATTTGGAGATGTGAAAGGCACCCTCGAGTTGGAAAGTCAGTAGTCAAGTCAGCGATAAAAATTGTAAAGACACATTTACCGGAAATAGAAAATCAAGCGGTCGAGGATGAAGAAGAATTACTGTCTACAGATATTAAGGCCATGACAAGGAACACCTTGAAGGATAAATGGATACGAAAGCAGCTTCATGGTCAATACGTGAAGAGAATTAAGAGGCCAGGGATTAATGAATGCCAAACGTTTGCGTGGCTCACGAGAGGGAAGGTAAAAGGTGAAACAGAGGCCCTGATAACGGCCGCCCAAGACCAGGCCCTACGTACAAGACATTATGAGAAACATATTCTCAAAATAACAGCAAATGATAGATGTCGAATGTGCAAACAATACTCAGAAACAATAGATCATCTTATATCCGGCTGTCCTCAACTGGCGAAGCACGAGTACTTGGTCCGACATAATAAAATATGCATATACTTGCATCATGCCATCTGTACAAGCTTTGGGATCGCAGTGGAAGAAAAATGGTATAATCACAATCCCACTCCAGTAGTTAGTAAAGATGAGATTACCATAATATATGACTTACCAGTGCAAACAGATCGTGAGATATCCGCGAACCGTCCAGACATAATCGTCAAAAACCAACGTGACAAAACCTGCCTGCTAATAGATGTTTCAGTCCCCAACGATGAAAACGTTGTAAACAAAGAAGCTGAAAAGAAATTGAAATACAAAGATCTCTCAATTGAAATCCAAAGAATGTGGTATCTGAGGACGAAGATAGTTCCCGTAATTTTAGGTGCATTAGGGACGATCCCAGACAATCTACATGAAAACCTAAATCTCATACCAGGAAGGCACAGGACAGCATACGTGCAGGAAATTGCTTTGTATGGTACAGCAACCATATTACGTAAGACACTATAAGGTAATGGACTTCGTTAGGATGTGGGTAACATCTTCGAAGTACCATAATGAAAATGACCAACCAAACCGGCCCACATGGACAGAACCAGTTGAATAGATAGGGCTGTGGAAAATAAACAAATAATAATAATGATAATAATCATAATAATAATAGTACTTATAATAATAATAATAATTATAATAATAATAATAATAATAATAATAATAATAATAATAATTATAAGGGGTCTGGCCGGTAAGGGGACTGCCGCCAGCAGTTTCAAACCCGCTACCGTAACGACGTAGACGGTACAGCCAGCAACGCAACGTCTGGCCTCGACCAAGTGGTTGAGCTACTGTTATTAACACCGAAGGAAAGTCAGTACGGCCAGCACACCTCCTGTTCATCCAGGCGTGGTTTTTGTCTCTCTTCCACGCCTGAGTTTAACACTTTTAGGTAAACAATTATACCTACCTATCAAAAGAGAACACAATTACCCAGAAATGGAGAAAAAACAAAATGAAGCCTCGGAATGTAACGACGTAATCGGGACTCGACGCTATGCGACGAGGTCCGCGTCCGGCAGGGAGCGTAGGGAAGGTCGCACCCGGTCGTCATCCAGCGAAAGCCCCCCACAGATAGTGTGAGAAGTAACTCGAATGACCCCATCCAACAGCTTCCTGGGGTCGAAGATGGCAATCATGTTGCTGGAAGCCAAGAGCCCCAGCCCATAATGCCAGACAATAGGAGGAGAAAAAGAACCACGTGGACCACTGAAATGAACAGATTTGTGGTTCGCTCCTACTACAGAATAACTAAACTAGAAACATCTACAGAGCCCTATGGTACTGAACTACACAGACAAGTTATCATGAACTTCTCTCACCTGCAAGGCAAAACTGTGCAAAACGTACTAGACCAGCGCCGATCCGTATTCATAAACAACAGATTGCCGGCAGAGGAGATAAACAAAATAAGAGAAGAGATATCCATAGAATTAGGAATGCAGGTACAAGCTCCGCAAGAGCACACAGAAAACCAAGAACAAATGAGATAAACGATGGCCAACCATCTAAATACGCAGATGAGTTCAGGGGCTTGTTCATGAAGTATGATGGTGTGGAACCAACTCTTAAACCAAGCCTACCAAAGCTAATAATAAAACCCCATACATCTGAGTATATCGCTGAAGTTAACAAAGTAATAGATAACGAGATTACAGAAGATACAACCTTGACTGAGCTCCATAGCCTGTTGTACATTGGAGCACTTACAGTCCTAAAATTAAATGAACAGAGAGTTGGCGAACAATGTGTAAGGAAAAACAGAAAACTGCCAGCCTGGGAGATGAGGATATCGCGTAATATAGAGGAGATTAGAAAGGACATAGCAATACTCACCCAGTACCGCAGGTCTGACTGTAGTCTGAGAGTAAGGAGATCCGCAGAGAATGTGATAAACCGTCACTGCTCGGAGGAGAACCCAACAGCCGTAGAAGTCTTGGACTACCTGAAGCAAAAACTAGCAGCTACAGCACTGCGACTTCGAAGGTAACAAGAAAAGCAACGAACGCCGGAAACAAAATCGAGCATTCGAGACCAATCAGCGAGGCTTTTACAGGAACTTGCAGGCGCGACGGAGGGATACAGATCAGAACAACGTTCAGATTCCTACCTCAGATGCCATCAATACCTTCTGGTCAGGAATTTGGAGCAACCAATCAATCATTCCACATCTAAATGGTACCGCCAAGAGAAAGCAAATAATTCAACTTTTAGGACCATGCTCGACTGGAAAGTAAGCTTAGATGACGTGGTAAATACTCTACGAAAATTACCAAACTGGAAAGCCCCAGGATCAGATAAGCTTCAGAATTATTGGCTAAAAAACGTTCACTTCAGCTCACGATCGACTCGCAAAGTGTTACACCTCAATCTTAGAGCAACCAGATATGTTGCTAGAGTTCTTAACAATGGGAATAACATATTTAATCCCAAAGTGCGGCGATCACTCGAACGATCCGGCAAAATACCGACCTGTCTGCCGACTATTACAAGGTATTGACTGCTATAATTACTGAAAAGATATATTCACACCTAGAGCGGAATACTATACTAGACGAAGAGCAAAAAGGTTGCCGAAAAGGGTCTCGAGGCTGTAAAGAGCAACTTGTTATAGACTCTGTCATAACTAATTATGCCAAAAAGAAAAAAATACCCCTGTACATTGCATACATCGATTATCAGAAAGCGTTTGACAGTATACCTCACTCTTGGCTGTTAGAGGTGCTTGACCTTTATGGGATCGAGTGCCACATCAAACAATTTCTGGCACATGCTATGGCGAATTGGAAGACACGGCTCTATCTCAACACCCAAGATACGCAATTCAGTGCCGGAGAGGTATCCATCAAGAGAGGAATATTTCAAGGAGACCTTAAGTCCGCTATGGTTCTGCTTAGCGCTTAGACCGTTAACAAACAATGCTAAATAGCCAAAAGAAAGGAATACTGTTAGGTGGCAATGAAACACGCATTTCACATCTTTGGTACATGGACGACCTCAAACTTTTTGCAGAAACCAAAGAACATCTTCATAAGCTTCTGGACTGTGTAAGTAAATTCAGCACTGACATCAAGATGCTGTTTGGCTTAGACAAGTGCAAGATCAGTTGCATGGTAAAAGGCCAGTGGAGTAAACATTCAGGATATGAGCCGAACCAAGTGCAAGGGAAAATTGAAGGAATGCAGCAAGATGAACAGTATAAATACTTAGGCTATCTACAAGCGCCGGGCATAGACCAGAAAGCTGCAAAAGAAAAGGCAATGGAGCACTATAGAACACGTTTGAGGGCGGTTGCTGAAAACAAGTATGTCAGCTCGTAATACAGCACTTGCTGTTAGCACCTACGCTACTTCGGTCCTTACCTATACGTTTGGCATACTGAACTGGACGGATACAGAACTGAACGCACTTAATGTGGAAACCAGAAAAGAATTCCGTAAATACCGGGGACACCACCCACATAGTTCCATAGAGCGGTTCCATCTACCACGAAGTGAGGGTGGCAGAGGAATACCTTGCATACCTACACTACATCACCGCCAAGTGGACAATCTACGCCAGTACTTCCTCCAAAAAGCCACATCCAGCAGAATGCATCAAGCAATAACACAGACGGATAAAAGTTGACACCACTAAACCTTTCAGAAAAATCTTTCGACCCTGAGGCAAAGATAACCCCAATGCAGGATCTGGTTCGCCAATGGAAAGCCAAACCACTACATGGTCGGTATAGGAGCCGCATAGAAGACAACGCCATTGACACGAAGGCTTCCCAAGGATGGTTGCAGTCAGGTAATCTGTTCCTGGAGACGGAGGGCTTCATAGCCTCCATCCAGGATCAGGTAGTCCCAACAAAGTGTACCGAAAGCGTATAATGCATGATAGAAAGTTGACGATATCAGATGCCGCATATGTGGGGAAAAAGATGAGCACATAGATCATATTATAGCAGGGTGCTCTCCCTTAGCTCCTAAACAATATCTTGAAGGCACAATGATGTGGCCAAAATACTTTATCAAGCTTTGGCTAAAAGATCTAGGAGAAACTGGTACACAGCCCTACTATAAATACACGCCGCCACCTGTGATAGACACGGAGACCTCTAGGCTGTACTGGAACGTAAAATCATAAACTGACAGGCCCATCCCCAACAATATTCCTGACATAGTGCTCACACTAAAAGAAGAAAGAACGACGTTTATAATAGACATAGCTGTGCCTCTTCCTACTAATATTCAAAACCACCCATGCGGAAAATATCAATAAGTATTTGCCACTCTCCGACGAAATCAAACGCACGTGGGAAATGGGAATGTGTCTATAATACCAGGTATAATAGGAGCTACTGGAGAGATACCAAGGAAACTACACAAGAGTCTGGAAAAGCTACAGCTCCATCCAAAAATATACTTGCAACTGCAAAAAGCTGCACTGCTGGGAACATGTAGGACAGTACGTGGGTTTTAGGAGATGAGAACCGGATACGGTGAAAAGACCGCTGCAGATCATTTCCTTACTTTGGCGAACCGCCTGAGGGAATAGGAAGACCGGCGACAGAGGAGGAAAAGAGGAGAAACTAAGAGAAGTAAGAGAATAGAAAAAGATAAAGCACGAAGAAGAAGAAGAAAGAGAAGAAGCAGAAGAAGAAGAAG